TTCCCATCAGGTGGCCAAAACACTGGAGTTTCAGTTTCAGCATCAGTAATTCTAATGAATCAGTTCAGTTCAGTCGATCAATCATGTCTGACTCTGCAACCCCATGGACTGCAGCATGCCAGGCCTCCCTGTCCATCATCAACTCCCAAAGTNTTTTCCCCTTCTATTTGCCATGAAGTGATGGGGCTGGATGCCATGAATGTAGGTTTTTGAATATTGAGTTTTAAGCCAGATCTTTCACTCTCTTCTTTCACCCTCAAGAGGCTCTTTAGTTCCTCTTCACTTTCTGACATTAGAGTGGTATCATCTGCATATCTGAAGTTGTTGACATTTCTCCCAGCAATTGTGATTCAAGCTTATGACTCAGCTCAACATTTGGCATGAATATATTCTGCATATAAGATAAATAAGCAGGATGACAATATACAGCCTTGCCATACACCTTTCCGAATATGGAACTAGTATGTTGTTCCATGGCCCAGTCTAACTGTTGCTTCTTGACCTGCATACAGGTTTCTCAGGAGACAGGTGAGGTGGTCTGGTATGGTATCCCATCTCTTTAAGAATTTTCCACAGTTTACTGTGATCCACACAGTCTGTGGTTTTCCTCTATTTATTTGCATTGTTCATTTAACAAGTCTTCCTTATCTCTCCATGCTATTCTCTTGAACTCTGCATTCAGTTGGGTATATCTTTCCCTTTCCCATTTGCCTTTTGCTTCTCTTCTTTGCTCAGTTGTTTGTAAAACCTCCTCAGACAACCACTTTGCCTTCTTGCATTCCTCTTTGGTGGGGAGAGTTTTTGTCACTGCCTACTGTACAATGTTATGAACCCCTGTCCATAGTCCTTCAGACACTCTGTCTACCACATCTAATCACTTGAATCTATTCATCACCTCCACTGGGATTTGATTTAGGTTATACCTGAATGGCCTATTGATTTTCCCTACATTCTTCCTGTACATTCTTTCCCTACATTCTTCTTTCCCATTCTTTCCCTACATTCTTCCCTTCCATTCTCCCTGTATGCCTGAATTTTGCAATAAAGAGCTCATGATCTGAGTCACAGTCAGCTCCACGTCTTGTTTTTGCTGACTGTATAGAAATTCTGCATCTTTGGCTGCAGAAAATATAATCAATCTGATTTAGGTATTGACCATCTGATGATGTCCATATGTAGAGTTGTCTCTTGTGTTGTGGGAAGAGGGTGTTTGCTATGACCAGTGCATTCTCTTGGCAAAACTCTCTTTGCCTTTTCCCTGCTTCATCTTGTACTCCAAGGCCAAATTTGCCTGTTATTTTGGGTGTCACTTGACTTCTTATTTTTGCATTCCAGTCCTCTATAATGAAAAGAACATCTTTTTGGTGTTAGTTCTAGTAGGTGTTTTAGGTCTTCATAGAACTGTTCAACTTCAGCTTCTTTGGCATCAATGATTGGGACATAGACTTGGACTACTGTTATGTTGAATGGTTTGCTTGGAAGCAGACTGAAATCATTCTGTCATTTTTGAGATTGGACCCAAGAATTCCATTTTAGTCTCTTTTATTGACTATTAAACTATTCCATTTCTTCTAAGCAATTCTTGGCCACATAGTAGATATAATGGTATCTGAATTGACCTCCACTCTTTACCAGTAGCATATTGGACACCTTCCAACCTGGGGAGCTCATCTTCCAGTGTCATATCTTTTTACCTTTTCTTATAGTCCATGGAGTTCTTGAGGCAAGAATACTGGAGTAGGTTGTCATTTCCTTTACCGGTGGACCACAATATGTCAGAACTCTCCAATATGACTGATCCGTCTTCAGTGGGCCTGCATGGCGTGGATCATAGCTTCATTGAGTTATGCAAGTGCCTTCACCATGACAAGGCTGTCATTTCCTTTACCGGTGGACCACAATATGTCAGAACTCTCCAATATGACTGATCCGTCTTCAGTGGGCCTGCATGGGGTGGATCATAGCTTCATTGAGTTATGCAAGTGCCTTCACCATACAAGGCTGTGATTCATGAAGGGGGCAGGTAGCATGGCACTGGAGATGTCAATTTGCTCAAGCAATTAAACTACATAGGTACATCACCTGAAATTGAAATTACCACCTGGTCAAGCTAATGAAAACCCACTCTCATTCTCCAAGACCATCTGTTTTCTGCACGGGCCAAATAGGCTACTTTAATGGGGATGTGGAGAAAATCATCACTCCTGCATGTTTGTAGCCCTTGATGGTACTGCAAATCACTGAAATCCACTCAGGTATGTGCAACAATTTGGTTTACTATATTTCTAGATAGAGGCAATTCTAATTGCTTCCATGCCAAAATAGCCCTCACTCTGCAGGTCAGGGAGCAGATGAGTTCTGGACTCTGCCAGCTGCTGAATATGTCTATCCTATTTTGCATTCCAGAACTGTATAAATAAGCACAGGATTGGTTTGGGTTCACACTTGACCCAATGGAGATGGCCCTAAGCTAAAATTTCATTGATCCCTTGACCTAAAATAAGCTCCTACTATGACTGATGGACCATAATGACACTTGGGGCATCTTGGAATTAGTGTGAGATCAGAGCCAGTGTCCAATAGGCCCCAAAAGGTATTCTCCTAATTCAAAATCACACTCACTAAAAACCTCTAGGTCCCTTTCAGGAAGGCCAGGAAACAGACTAACAATATATACTTTGGGACAGTGTACCAAGGCATGATGGACACCTACTTCTGGATTTCAAAACTTACTCCAAAACTACAGCTATCAGAACTGTGTAGTTCTAGCATAAGGATAGACACATAGATCAGTGGAATACAATTAAGAGTCTGGAAATAAACCCATAAGTGTATTCATGGGCATACATCCCAAAGAGTTGAAAACAGGCATTCACACAGAACCCCATGGAGGAATGTCCACCACAGTAGGCACAAGGGAGAAGTTATCCAAATGTCCGTCCACTGCTGAGTGGATACAAAACACGTGTGGTCTAGCCATACAGTGGAATACTATTCAGCCAGGAAAAGGAAAGAAGTGCCGACTTGTGCCACCACGGGCATGGGCCCTATGCTCAGTGACAGCAGCCAGACACAGAAGGCCACCTATTTATTGTATGCCTCCACCTCTAGGAAGTCGACAGAACAGGCCAAGGGCTGTGGACAGGAACCTGATGAGTGCTTGCCTGAGGACTATGGGGGTGCGGTGGGGGAAACTGCAGGAGGGGGCAGTGGGAAGTGAGTGCCTGGCCGGTTCAGGGGCTTCTCTTTGTGGTGGTGCCAATGTTCTAAACACAGTGGTGATGGTGGCCCAGCACCGCCAGTGTACACTTGGTGCCACTGGGTGGTCTGCTGCCTTCTCTGTACAAAGGTCTCCTCCCGTGGAAAGGGAGCGTTCTGACAAAGAGAGGGTCCAATGGGCAGGGTGAGCAGGGTCCTGCCAGCGCCATGTCTTTGCAGGCCCAGGCCTGCGGGGGTGGGGGTGGGGTGGGGGGCATGGGAAATCGGTGATCTCAGGGAGTCTGCCTGTCACAGACTGTGCGCCCCGACCAATGAGGGGCCGGCCCACAGTTGCTCGGATACAGAGTCGAGGTCTGAGAGTACCAGTTGCCTTGAGAGGATGGGACCAGCTGACTCATCCCGCCGCATCTCATCCCACCGCACCTCATCCCACTGCACCGCAAAGCAAGGCCTCGGAGATAGCGGGCTCAACGGTCAGCATGCCAAGGAAAAGGGGCCGTCGAAGGTCGTCTGGCCGCTCCCACACCGCCCTTGTCTTGCTGTCTTTCTCCATGAGCTACATGAAGTGCCTCCCGCGGGAAGGCCACTACTCCCAGCGTCTGAGCTCTTCCGCACCCATCTTCCTAGCAGCCATCACACAGCACCTGACTGCCAAGGTCCTGGAGCTGGCAGGCAATGAGGTCCAGAACAGTGGTCAGAGGTGCATCACCCCAGAGCTGGTGGGCATGGCGGTCTAACACAATGCTCTGCTCAGCAGCTCTTTTGGGATGACAACCATCTCCCTGGTGGCCCCAGCCCAGCACCAGCTGCTCAACCACACCTGGGTCTTGAGTCCCGGGTGTCCGGCGCCTGGATGGGCCTCCCATCGGCTGTCGGGCGCCAGGCCTGCTCACTGACTGACCACACAGCCCGGTGCCTCAGGCCCAGTCATGTCAAATCAATCAAAGTGTTTCAAGACATCCGTGTGTGTGCTTCAATCACTTGGCCTGGGAAGTGGTTGTGGAACACCTCTCCTTGGAGAGGTGGGGGTCGGGTGTCTGGCTGGAGCAGACGGGGAGTGTTGTGGGTACAGATGGAGTAGGGGATGGCAGGCAGAGAGGAGCGGTCGCCCATGGTGACAGCGCATGCAGTGGCCCTGGTGGGAGAGGCTGGCTGTGCCAGGGTTGCGGTGGAGTGGGGTCTGGGGGGGAGGCTTGGGAAAGAAGGCTCCCCGTTGGCTCTGAGCAAGTAGGAGGCAGGCCAAGTCCCCAGAGGAACCGGGGTCCTGGTGGTGACACTCAAGATTGAGAGGGCGGCATCGTGGTAGGGTGAACGTGCCAAGGTGACCGACCGCCCTGAGGCGTGGGATGCAGGGATGGTGGACAGTGTGCTTGAGAGGGGTTCCCATGGGGGCAGGGGCCTAGACCGCAAGACTGCGGCGGGGTGGCGATGGAGTGTACAGGACACAAACCTCAATTATGCAAAGTTGGAAGCAGGATCACGCGGGGTCACCAGATAACTTTTTGGTCGTGTGCCTTTAGAGATTCCAGGAGATGCTCTGCTTGGCAACCTGCGGGAGCAAGCTGTCACCTAGCAACAGCCGGCTCCCAGCCATGGCTGGCCCAGCACCCTTCATTTGCATACGGCGCCGGCAGCCAATCACGGCCCAACTTCCGCGCCCGCTCTTTTGCATATCACGCCGCGCCGGCGCCGTCCCGCTGTGGGCTTGAGCCGGACGCAGGGCACGTCGCCGGTAGCCGCCCGGTTGCGTCAGCGCGCCTGCAAGCAGCGGGGCGGCGAAGATGGCGGCTTCCGCGGCCGGCCTGGGCGGCGGCGGCGCGGGCCCGGGGCCTGAGCCGGGAGATTTCCTGGCGCGCTACCGCCAGGTATCCAACAAACTCAAGAAGCGGTTCCTGCGGAAACCGAACGTGGCGGAGGCCGGCGAGCAGTTCGCCCAGCTCGGCCGCGAGCTGCGCGCCCAGGAGTGTCTGCCGTACGCAGCCTGGTGCCAGCTGGCGGTGGCGCGCTGCCAACAGGCGCTCTTCCACGGGCCTGGCGAAGCGCTGGCGCTGACCGAGGCCGCGCGCCTCTTTCTGCGGCAGGAGCGCGACGCGCGCCAACGCCTGGTCCGCTCCCTCCCGGCGCTGGGCCGCCGGCTACCGCCGCCCCGGCCGCGCTGGGTGCCTTCGCCGACGTGCTGGTCCGCTGCGAGGTGTCCCGCGTGCTGCTTCTGCTGCTCCTGCAGCCGCCGCCCGCCAAGCTCCTGCCGGAGCACGCGCACACCCTGGAGAAGTATGCCTGGGAGGCCTTCGACGGCCACGGGCAGGACAGCAGCGGCCCGCTGCCCGAGGAGCTGTTCCTGCTGCTGCAGTCCTTGGTCATGGCCACGCACGAGAAGGACACGGAGGCCGTTAAGTCGCTACAGGTGGAGATGTGGCCCCTGCTGAGCGCCGAGCAGAACCACCTCCTGCACCTCGTTCTGCAGGAAACCGTCTCGCCGTCGGGCCAGGGGATCTGATGAATCCCTGACGGGAACCCAGCCACGCTGTGTCTGTTCCCGAAACTCACGCACCGGCCTGCGCGTTTGCGGGAGCATGAAAGACCTTGATCCCAGCGCTTCTGCCTCTGCAGTGTATCTTACTTGTCTTGCCACCGGAGGAATGTTGTTTACTAAAGTCACCTTGTTTCCATAACAGTGTCAGGAAAAAAAAAAAAAAAAAACATAGAATCGGAAGACACAGCTTACCTCACCAGGAATTTCAGCATAAACTTGAAAATCCCTTGGGTCCCTTTCACCCAATTGTCCCCTCACCCCGCTTCCCCCCGCCCCCAGAAGGCTTGCCTTTCCCTACATCCTTGTTTCACACAGGATTTATTTGCGTATCTCTGGCTTGGAACTCTAGCTGCATGTTTTTCATGGTGAAGCTGATTCCTTAGCATATTCAGATGTCTGCCTTCATGATCGCCCAGTTCCTCCTTTGTTTCATGCGCCTCATACGTTGGAATCGTATTCAGTCCTCTGCGGTTGTCACTACAGCCCTCAATCTATGATAAAGCCTTTCTGACACTCCTGACTTGTGGTTTAGATTGATCTCCTCTGTAAAATGGGAATAGCTTATCTACCTGTCAGAAGGCAGAAGCACAAACAGTTCCCTTTTAGATCCGAGGTGGATTCATTCACTCGAAATGGACACTGTGCCTATGAATCTACAGAGATCATTTGTGATATGGTCCTTAGCTGCAATGCATTTGTCTTCAATGCAAAAGGGGTGGACCTCGGAGTAGGGGTGAGGGTGGGGTGAGCTCCAGTGCGAAAGTGTCAGATGTGCACTGGAGTTTTCATTTGTGGTTGTTCCGAGAGGTCCGGGTAATCCACACGGGCAAGTTTTACTTGTAGTATGGACCCTTCTACAAATCTTCCTTTAACTCAAATATATAAAATTAGCATGCTTCTTTGGTCTAGCGTGATCACATATATGTCAGACTGTGCCCTTGGTCCCCAAAAGCAGGATGATGTTCCATTTTTAAACACAATTTCTGGTCCAAATGATACATGCAAACTGACTTAACTGTATTCTCAAATTTTCTTTAGTGTTGAGTGTGATGACAAGAGCTCTTCAGAATATATTCTCATTCTCAGCCATTGAGTTTTGGAAAATGCATCCTTGAGGCTGAGGTTGTAGACAGCAGTAATCTTTTGGGTTGAGATTTAAGCACTCAGTTTGGGAATCTATCTTGCTTTTGCATATTTGGTGGGGAGGGGGAATATGTGGAGTGTTGTATGAGATAAGTGCCCCCAAATGGGTCGGACTTTATGGTATTTTTTGTACCTCTATTTCAGCAGTGTGGAAGCAGTGGCTAAGCAAGTATAGGGGAGCCGTTTGGAGACAGATACAGGCACCTCTCCTGTGCTCTCACGTGGCTGCCAGGAAGGGGCCTTCCAAGCCCTGAAAGCCCAGTCCAACTTATTGCCAAGGTGGTGAGGGTGCATGCTCCCTTGTGCGTTTGCTTTTTCTGGGACACTCAGCCCTGGCTGCCTCCCTTATCGTCCTTAGGACAAGAATGCTTAGGAATGAATTATGGAGTGTGCCTGGTGAGAGCATTTGGATTTGGGCACAAGGGAAAACCTCCTTAGAGGCTTGCTTAGAGTGGGTGGGGGAAGGGATTCCCAAAGATGCTGGTATTGGGTATACAAGCAGTGTTCAACTTCTCCAGAGAAAGGAAAACAACAGAATCAATCTGTTAAAAAACAAGAAAGCATACCCAGGGACTTTCCTGGTGGTCCAGTGGCTAAGACACTGAGTTCCCAGTATAGGGGACCCAGATGTGATCCTTGGTCGGAGAATTAGGTCCCACATACCACACCATGCCTCAGTGAAGATCTAAGATCCCACATACTGCAACTAACACCTGGTATAGCTAAGCAAATAAATATAAATATTTTTTAAAAGAATAGCCAGGAAATCACTAAAAAGGAAAAACTATAAGGGAAAAATAGTTTGATAAGATATTAAAATACACAATCAGGACTTCCCTGGTGGCCCATTGGTTTAGAATCTGCCCCACAATGTAGGGGACGTGGGTAAAAACCCTGGTTGGGAAATTAAGATCCCACACACTGAGGGGCAGCTAAGCCCGCCTGCCACAATGAAAGATTCAAAATGCTGCAACTAAGACCCAAGACAGTAAATTTTTAAAAAATGCTTCACAAGTCCAACTTTAAGTATAAAAAATAAAATATACAATAAGGCATCTTTAGGTAAAACAGTGGGGTAGTGGTGTAGCAATAGACAAACACACCTGTGGAGTGAATAGCATGTCAAAAAGTAGACCCAGATACACATAAAGAGTTTAAGATAAAGATAACATCTCAAATCTCTAGATAAATGATGGACATTTTAATAAATGGTTCTGGGACAACTGAAAAGCTATTTATTAAAAAAAATTAAGTAGATGCATATCTCACTCCATACACAAAAATAAACTCCAAATATATAGGGGTCTAAATATTAAAAAATAAAATTATACAAGCATCAGGAGAAAATATTAGAAAATTCTTCTGTAGCCTTAGTGAAGAGAAATACTTTCTAACTGCAATTTAAAACCAGATGTAATAAAAATTGGTAAATTTGACTTCATTAAAATTTTTTAAAATCAAGAACTTTTACATGGTTAAAAAACACCATAAAGTAAAAAGACAGCAAACTGAGAAAATATTTACCACATATAATGCAGAGTAATAGCTAATATTTCTAAAATAGATTCACTTTATTATTTTACATGTTTTTTCCATTGGGATTTTGATCCTTTGTCCCTCAATTTTAAATATTATATATATATATATATAATATATAATTGTATATATATAATATAATATTATATATATATGCTTGTTTATATTGAAGAAACAGAAAGGTAAAGCCAGAAACAAAATTGGTTGGCTACAAGGGAGGAAAGGGGAAAGTTTTTTATTTTTAATAATGTTGACTTTTGTAATCATGTTAATGGTTTTATATTAAAATATAAAATAAAACCAACAATGATAGGACAATAATTCTAGAACTAAATGAAAATGAACAGTTAAGTTCAACTATACTTCAAATAATTAACAAATGTATTCAAGGAAAAAGAAAAAACTTAATGCCAGTATGTTTTAATACAGTTCTTTAGCTAAATATTCTCTACCTAAAAAGAATTCAGAATATATCAATAATATCTTGAACTATTCTTAGCAGACTTGCTTTTTGTAAGTTTTTTTTAACTCTGAAGAAAAAAAAACTCTACTGATGAGCATATTTGAGACTGGGCCTAGTAGTTGCCAATGGGAAGAAGTAAAAGTCTGTAAACAAATCAATATATTTTTCAAAAGAGTAATATATTAAAATTTCTTAGTGAGATTTTAAGCTTTTAGAATATGTGAAATGAATGTCTCCTGCAAACAGCAAATGGAAAAACACATACCAAAACCCATAAAAAAATTTTATTAAAAAGCAAAAATCTGTCATATTTGAACCAAGGACACTCCCTCCCTTCCCACCTGCCCCCTACCGAGACTCAGCACTCTGCTTCAGATTGCAATCACTTTCTCTTCCCTTGACTTGTAGTCAGAGGGCTTTCTTCCTGGGAGGAGCAGTATGCCATTATGTCTCATCCTGATGCCAGCTGTGTGCTGATGAGGCTGAATCCCAGGCGAGTGTGGTTGAGAAATGAAAGTTCCCTTCTTCCACTCAGTTCCCACTTACCAGACTGAGGGTGCACCTTGGGTGCCATGGTTTGAGAAGACTGCAGTCCTGATCCTCTTGTTCTTTCTCTGGCTCATGAGTTGGTGGTTCCACTTCAGGCGGATGCCCCCTTCCAAATGTTCAAGTCCTAGAGCACTAGTGTCACTCAGAAGTTTTCCATTGTCCCCAACCCCAGTTCCAGAGCCCTGGCTCACAGATTTTACCCAAAAGGAGATACAGATCCCCCCAAAAAAAACAAACAAACAAAAAAACAGATAGCTCTTATTCTCTTCCCAGAGGAACTGATTATATTTACAACAGACTATGGAGAAATTCAAACCTAAGGACAGTCTCAAGAACAATGGAGGTTGTAGTGAAAGACAGTGAAACGAGTGGATTTAATGAAAATGCAGACTTATCAGCCAGTTAGGAGCTTTCCTGGGGTCAGAACAAATAACAAGCATGAACTCAGAAACTATTCTTCAAAGAAGCCACAATTTGGTTGAATTCCTTTGAAGAACAATTTATGCTCCCAAGGCTTTGATGAAAACAAAGAGTAAGTAATCAGGTGGCAATTCATGGACTTTTAACAGCTGGATGTGGTCAAGCAAAGAGAATCCTGCCAATATCACTGTCATTCCAGGGTAATAGGTCAGAGACTTAACAATGTGTGGGGCAAGGGTGGGGGAGCTTGGGGATAGACTTTACTGGTATAATCCACCTAGCCACTAAATAATAATAAACAATAACCAATCCTGGGGTGGGTAATGGACCAATACTCAAGAGTTACTACAATATATTGTCTAAAATGGCTAGCCTCCAACAAAAATTATGAGACGTACAAAGAAGAAAATATGGTTCGTACACTGGGAGGAAAAAGTAGGCAATGCAAACTGCCTGAAATAGAAAGTAGATGTTAGATTTAATAGAAAGACTTCAAAGTCGTCCTTACAAATATGTTCACAAAACTAAAGGAAAGCATTTTTTAAAAAGTAAAAGATATGGTGGCAATGTCATATCAAATATAGAATATCCATACGAGATAGGAAGAAGAACCAAAAGGAAATTCTCAAGTTGAAAAGTACAATAACTGAAATAAGTAATTCACTAGAAGGGCTCAGCAGATTTCAACTAGAAGAAGAAAGAGCTAGCAGACTTGAAGACAGTTCAATAAAGATTATGCAAGGAGAAAATAGGACAGATAAAGAATGGAGAAAATTGAACAGAGTCTCTGAGAAATGTGGGACACCATCAAGTGTACCAACATAGGAGTAATGAGAAGAGAGAGAGAAAAGAGTAGAAAAAATGTCCAAAGAAATAATATCAGAACACTCCCTAAATTTATTGAAAACCAATAACCTACACATCCAAGAAACTCAATGAACTTCTAGTAGGATAAAGATAATGAGATTCCCAAACAGATGCATCATAATAAAAGTTCTGAAAGTCAAATATATAATAAAAGTCATAGAGAAAATCTTGAATGTAACAAGAAAAAAAATGATTCATCTCTTAAAAGGGAACTCCAATAAGATTAACAGTCAACTTCTGGGGGGAAAAATGCGTTTGGATAACATATTCAATGTGATAAAGTAAAAAATGTAAACCAGCAATCCCATATTCAGCAAATCTATCTTTCAAAAAAGGAAAGCAAATAAAGACATTTACAAAGTAAACAAACAAGCACTGAGTGAATTTGTTGCTAGCAGACCTGCCTTACAAGAAATACTGATGAAAGTTCTTCACGCTGAAAGCAGGTGACTGCAGATGGCAGTTCAAACACACATACACACACAAAACAGCACCAGAAAGGTGTTTATGTAATTATAAAAGACAGCATAATTGTAAACTTTTGTTCTTTTCTGTTAACTTATTTTTTAAATGAACAAAATAATATGTGTAATACATATAATAATATGTAAAATACATACAATAGTATGTATATGGTGCACTGTTGGGTCTGTAACATAAAATGTAATATATTTCCCAAAAGTAATGCAAAAGAAGTGGGTGGGAGTCAAGCTATACTGAGTTACAGAAATGACTACAGTTGGCAAAGCAATAATTATTACAACGCATTGTTGAATTTGTAATATTAATAGACATAATAGGTATAATAGTAGTATCATTAAAGAGAAAATGGAATAGAGCTAAATAGGAATAATGTTACTATATGTTATATAAAATATAAATATGTATATATGTGGAATAAGGTAGTATAGATCTGAAGG